TTATTTCTCTAAGTCTGTAGATGAAAATTGTGAAAACTTGGGATGCAGTTCTGGGAGCTGCTAAATGTACCTCCAAAATGCTTAGCAGACTCAGCTCTTAGGGACACCACCAGGACTCATGGGCTGTCAGGAGTTCCAGGGAGCATGGGGAAAACCTGTCATGGCTGCAGTGTGACAGGCACATGGAAGCCCCTTTCACAGCCCTGCTCTGCAACATGCTGACCCCACCCATCACAGGCCATGCCCACAGCAGCACCCTTTGCTCTCTTGGCTAAGCAGCCCTGACCCGTGCGTTTATGGTTTCTGGCTCTGATAACAAGAAATGCTTCATTTGGTTGATACTCCTCTCACACAACCATACATTCCCTCATCCTCCCAAAGACCTAGGAAGTGATCTTACTCACTGAATTACAACTCACCTACTCCAGCTCTATGTGATCATCGGAGCAAGAACCAAAAAGTTCTGCAGTGAGCACATCAATTTAATGAACCTTTTATTCTGGTAGTTGCTTCCAGAGAAAGAAATAATCTATGATGCTCCATAAAACTCTTCATAAAATGTCCCATGCATCTGTAAACTCCAAAAGCTAGTCTTCTGTCCACTTTACATTTATCTGTAAAGTTGACAGAGGCAGGAGCATTCCCAAAGCCCCTTCTTTAGCACATATGATTGTGTTATGTTATCCAGGTCATCTGTATGAGAGTTACTGTATTCACAGGACAGAGCTCCACAGCGCTGCCTCTTCCCTTAGATAGATCCAGTTCTGTCATCCAAATGCTGATACTGAAATTAGCCTGAGAGATCAGTTGAAGCATGTTGGCTTCTCATAAATCTCTGCTGAGGAGCATGCTTTCTGTATTTTCCTTGAGGCATCTGCTGTGGATTGACCCCTCTGGTCTCTGGCTAACCTGGTTCACATGAGAAGCCTGAGAGGGGGTGGAATGTAGGAAGGCTGCCAGCTACAGCCTTCCATGCTAGGCTGAGCAGAAAGGCAATCAGGTTTCCTAAGCACTGTAACAGATGACAAGGTGTATATTTATACCACTTACCCACGTACTTTGAGTGAATTGTGCAACATGAGATTTGTCATCATGCATCAGATCATAGTGTATCTAATTCAATACTGTGGCGCTGACAATGCTGGGAGAGCTGAGCTGCCTGCAGTGATGTACTTCACCAACTGTGCAATGTGGGAACAGGGGGTCTACGATTAATATTCCTCCCCAGTTCCTCTAACAATCAACTGGTACCCTGACTGTGCTTATTATCTGAGCAGGCAGAACTGCAAATATAAATAATCACAAGTTTAGACAGCCTTCTAATTACAGCTAGTACAACCACAGCATTAATTTCTAGTCTGCACCCTGGACTGGATAGATTTCGAGTGGGATAATATGTCATGCTGATTTCACCTTACTTTCCTCTGTTAAAAGATTCCTGGGCTAGTTGCATCCAGGATGCCAGCAGTGAAGTGTTATTCCAGTGCTGGAAGCAACCTGCAGTTTTTTACCTCACTCCTGGTGTCATCTTTGATACCTCTCATGAGCTCCTCATTCCTTGCATATTTGTTTTTTATTTAGTTTTGTGTGGTTTGGGGGTTTTTGTATTTTGTTATTGGTGGTGGTGGTGGTTTGGTTTTTCTCTTGTCTTCACTGCAAGGGAATAAAGCCATTCTTCTGCTTTGGGTGTGCTGGCAGTCAGCCACACTCTGTAAATACAGCAGGTGCTGCTGCCTTTGTGTTCAAGTGCTGTCATCACCCTTTGATCAGGCCAGGAGTCACTTACTTTCCTTGGCTGGTTTGGGCTTATGCCATTTGCAGAGCACGGCTCTCCCCTAAGGTGTCTGCAGTGGCTTTTGCAACACACCCATGAATATGCAGAGATCATTTCAAACCCCTTAATGTGACCAGTTATTGGACTACTTCTTCCCAGCCTACACAGTGTGACTTTCCAATCAGAGTAAGAATGTCTCTCGCCCAAAAAGCTCTTGCCCCCTCAGCTGTCCCTCATTCTTAGTGCTTTCTGCAGCTGATTTACTGTAGAAAAATGCCCTGAATTAGTCAGCTGTTTGTCTGTGTCAAACACTTTTCTCCTTGCAGTGACCTGCAGAAAAGAAGCAGGGAAGAGGGAATCGTTTTGCTCTGCCATTGAACCTCAGGCATGGGAATTTCTCCTCTTTCAAAGGCTTCTCTTCCAAGTCCAAGGACTCTGCTGTGAAGTGCTGGAGTCAGCTGTGGTCCTGGGCCTTGCGAAGCTTGGTCCCTGAAATCCCTGTAATGGCTCTTGCAGGAGTGACATGACTTTGCATCTCACAGTCCAGGTAGCACTGGGTCAGTGTCACTTCAGGCTGTGTTGAAGATGATTTTTGAGCAAACATCTGTCATATGACACAACCAATAGTGCTATTTTCTTCTATCCTTTTCTGCTTCCTTATGTTTTGTAATTGATCCATATTTGTTGGCATCTACTTCTCTATTTGATGTGTTCTTTCTTGGTGGTGCCAAATATAAGCTTGTTCCTGTGTGCCCATAATGTAACGGGATTCAGAAGACGGTGGCGGGAGCTACTGGGTGTGGAGCAAAGACTGTCTCATGCTTCAGGGATGAGATAACTAGGTTTGTCATGTGCCTGGGTACTCAGTGACTTTTTCCACCTGTAGATTAGGATACTAATTCTTTAGTAGCCCAAGTGATTTTTTTCAGGCAAACCAAGCTACCCCAGAGTGTCCACTAGCCTTCACATACTTTCTAAGCTATCAGTAACAACAGTTTGTGGTAACAGAAATGCTGTTGGAGACCACTGTTCAAAAACTGAGGCCATTGCCTATGACCTTGTCATGCCAACAAGGCTCACTGGCTAACTTCCCTCAGTGCTCCCCCCTCAGTGGGTGGCTCATGTCTCACCTGTCAGTGCTAGCCTTATCCACAGTGGCCAGATGGTCTTTGGTTACCCTGCACTTCTAGGAGTGCCAGGAGCATGAGGAACAGCAGGACTCAGTGGCCACAGCCTAAGCAGTGCTCACAACACCAAGCCTGGCAGAGTTCAAGAAGCATTTGGACAATGCTCTCAGGCACATGGTATGATTCTTGTGGCCCTGTGCAGGGCCAGGAGTTGGACTTGAAGATGCTGATTGCTTCCTTCCAACTCAGCATATTTTATAATCTGTGACTCCTGGAACCCCCTGAGACCAAGACAAGTGTCCACCCATGACACACTGTGAGCCCTTCCCTGCTGTAAGAGGTCCTCCTCTGATAAAACTTTAGCTCCTGAAGATTCATGTCACTGTTCTACCCTCAATTAGCATGTCTTAGCTCTCCCTGCAGTAGATCAATGGATAAAGAATAACTACCTACACAGTTGATTCTTGCTACATCTTACAGCTCACAGGATTGTGCCCCAAGTTTTCTGAGATCTGTCAGTGTCCTGGGCTTTGGACTCTTTGCTCAAGCTCTAGAACTGCAGAGATGTTTGGCCAGAAATTGCTAGAGAGGCAACAGCTATACCAACTCGTGAGACCCAGACAAACACCTTGGTGATTTTGCTTCGGGACAGATGAGACTCTGCCAGAGTGATAAAGTATGTTTCCAGCCTTCCTGGGTGTGAGGCAAAGCCTGGCGCTGAGACTGAGTGATATCACTGCTCATGCTGTCTGCCTGAGCTTGCAGAGAGCCTCAAACAGGAGCTCTGAGAGTTGTTCTGCTTCCTCCTTCCCTCCACAACAGGAAATCTCACATGCAAGAGAACATGGTAGTTCTGCATTG